TCACGTCAGTATGATCTGAGATTACAGAACAGTTGCAGGCCATCTCCAGCACAAGTATTTAACACGAGGGAAAGTAATTAGGCTCAAGCATCACTTTTCAAGGATGAAGGATATTGTTGCCTGCTTTAATTGCAAGGGAAAACCTATTTGGGGAAATTATCACAAAAAACGAGATGGGCCACTTCAGGGCTAAGAAAACAATCACAGAAGCCATAGGAGCCCCCAGCATGGCATCAAGTTGGTGAGCAACGGCCCCAGGAAACGGTTCGCGTCCAGAACGCGAACAGCAACACCTCGGGCACGGAGGCTGGGCACCACTCAACTGTGCCAGGCAGCTTCTTCTAGGGAATGGTTTTCTACTTAGGAAATTAAGACCTGTCAAAAAATTAATGACATCGTTCTAGACAATTTGGGGAGTTGAGAAATGTCTGGAAAAAGAGAACTGATCACACATGATCCCATCACCCAGGGGCTAATATTTCCTTTTTTTCTATGTCTATTTTGGGGATGGGTGTGGTGTAATTCACTGATATTGTGCAGATGATTCTGACTCTGACCTTTCCACCTAATATAAGGTACCCATTTCCCATCGGTATTAGGCCCTCCATCCAAGCACAATTTTTCATGCTGTCCCGCGAATCCACACAGGTGTGTGACGACCCTAGCCCTTCCCCCATAGCCCTACCCCCGCATGATTTTTTTTTCCCACCGCACTGTGAATCTCTGCTTGTTTTTCATTTAGATCCTTCCCTCAGGAAGGATTCCTAGATGTAAAATTCTTGATTCAGCTTTACGGTGCTTATTACATACTGTCACATTGATTTCTAAACCATTTATGGCAATTTATTCTTTCACATAGTGGCATATGAGTGCTGTCACCAGCGACGGGCATAGTAATAAAAAAAAAAGCGTTTGCTAATTCGAAAATAAAAATTGGCACCTCATCGTGTTTGTCTTCTTACCCTTTGCCCAGTTACACGTCAAGCATATCCGTGTGTCACCCACGGGTCCCTGAGCTCTGATGTTATTGGGTCAACAGCCTAGGCAAGAATGTCAGCTTCTCCACTCACCTGCTGCACAGCTGCAGGTGAGTGATTTACCCTCAGTTCCTCATCTGTAAAGTGGGGATAACAACAGATGCTATTTTTTTGGATTATTGTGAGTACCAGGCAGCTACACCTGAAATTACTTTAATAAGGACTTTCTGGGTCTTCGGTCGTGTGTGTTGCACACACTTGCCAGTTATGCCGGTTACTTGTATTATGACCACTTCTTAAGATCCAGGATGTTTTAGGTGATGCAAGTAAGGCAAGGAACAAACCTGAGATTTCCAAAACAGGAGCTGGTTGAAGAAAGACGGTCCTGGTCTTAAGACAAGATGGGCGGAGCACCTGCTTCTATTCATTAGTTAAATGCCAAATTAAGGGGCTTGACATGCCGGCACAGTCAGGCCAGCCAGTCGTCATCTTGCTTGACCCTCGGAACTCCTGGCACGTCCCCGCAGTGTCCTAACGAAGCCAGCGCCCAGGCACCTCGTGACGCTGCCTGTGCAGGTGTGGGCGGGCAGCCCCAGCTCGGTGTTTCTCACAGGCCCATGGGGCACTCTGGTGACCAGCCACATTGCACTGGACCAGGCTGATGGGCTGTCCAGTTTGGTGACACCCTGCAGGACACCAAAGTCACATCCTAACCAACATGTCTTCTTGGCCATCCACAAGCCATCTGTAGCCTCCTATGACTCCTCGTGAGCGACCTCTCCTGCCCCATCTCTGGGGGTGAGAAGACTTAACCAAGATAATCTCAAAGAAACAGCAGATACACCTTTAACCATTCAGCCGGAAGGCTCATTCACCCCTTAACTAAACAAGCTCTTATCACTATTAAAAACAGTTTGAACTGGGTCTCTGGTTGTAACCAAAAGGGACGTGGGCCTCTTCCATTCCTGGCCAGCGGGGACCTGCACAGGGAGAGAAACTTGTCCTGACACCCCCGCTTGCTTCTCTCCCTGGCTTGTCGCTGACCCCAGGCCACTGCCCTGCACCACTGCCTGCTCTCTCCCGAAGGTGCCCACAGGGCTGCTCGGCACCCACTGCCCCTGCCTGCTCCCGGGTCTCTGAAAGCTTTCTGGGAAAGTTCCAGTGCCACAGGCCGTCCAGAGGTTCCGGCACATCAGGCTGACCCCAAAATGGTAAATACACATGGGCCATGGAGCTACCAAATTCAGACACACCCCTCCATGGGGCACCCACTTCTCCTCCCTGAGATGCGTTTTTATGACAACCCCACCAGCCCACTAAGACCATCCCATCGTAGATTCCTGATCTGAAGGTACCTTTTACATGGAACTTTACCCAGAGCTTCTGCTTTTTTGGCAGGAGTGGGTGTAGGGTGGGGGGTGTGGGCAACAAAGAGGATACCAACAGCAAAAGAGCAAATTCCTGCTCAACAGTGGGCAGGAGGGACATGAATTCCAGAGGGCAAGTGCCCAGGAAAGGTGGGCCCACGGCAGGAGCCAGGGCTAGCACGCAGACAAGTGTTCACCCCCAAAGTCGTCCCTGGGTCCCACGGTTCAAACTGCAGCCTGGGTTTTTAAAGAGAAAACAAACACCTGACACGCATGGAGGTCCTTCCCAAGAGCAGAGAGAAGGCAGAGGGGAATGAAGGTGGGTGAGGACAATCTGCCTGCACTTGGGGCCTTTCCACGCAGGGACCCTGCACTTGGCAAAGAGCTCAGAAAGCCCCACAACTGCAGAGCAGCGTCACCTGGGACACGTGAGTCCATTTAAAACAATTCCTCCAAAGTTGAAAGCTTTTCACTGATAACACAGAAAAATTGTCTACTGGAAGACACATATTATAAGGCTATAAACGAATCCGGTAGCCAGGAAAACAGCTCTGTGGAGATTCTGTCTGTCTAATACAAGCACCTAAAGGAGAATTTCTGAGCCCCAAGAGGTATCCTAGGAAATGGGCTTGGGGAGCATGGTTCCACAGGTCCAACCCTCCGACCCCCCCAAGCATGAGCCCCCCAGGTATGAGCAGCCTTGTGGGGACTGTGGCAGTGAAGGGTCCACTCCTCCTTCAGGTCATCTGTGACAGTAACACCAACGGAACCTGAGCTCATTAGGGCCAGTCATTCCTAGAATTCTGGAATTCAGCGGCCACCCAGAATAGCAAACCTGCTCCAAACTGGCAAATACATTTGCATATCAGAGGTGAAAAGCAATGTCAAAGGAGGTGCTTTGAAAACCCAAGTGCAGAAACTCTTTAATGTTCCAGTTTCCACAGAGGCTTCGATCTGCCTGGCCCGGGCATGTGCTGCAGACACACTGCCAGCCCGGCGCACCTCTCTTCCCTGGGAAGGGGATGGTCCCAGCAACCCCCCGCAGCTGCCACAGGCTTCTGCTGTTGACCAGTTTATCGAGGAAACAATCTGAAGAGATAACAACGGAAATGCTCTTGTATCTGCAGCCCTCATTTATTATTTAAAAGTAAAAACCAGCAATAGCTATGTCAACCTACTGGAGCACCCCCCAATCCCCCCCCACCACACACACACACACACACACACACACTCTGGCGGGGGAGATGGGGGATGGGGACTTACATCACAACTGCATCCTACAGAAGATGATTCAACACAGTCTCTGCATTTTTATGAGGTTACGAATCGAGTTAACCCATGAAACCACAGTGGGGGGGCGTCCTGGATACGCATCCCATGGTTTAAAGGGACAAGAACCCAATGAGCGCATTCATCCTCTGACGGGTTGGTAACAACTTGAATAAATCTTTCAGTGAATAAAATGAGACCAACACAGGACACCTGGACTGGGTTACAGTGCCTTCTCTGTTTTTGCTTTCTCTCCTCTGATAGGACCCTTCCTTCTGGATTTCCACCACGCTAACAGTCTTGAGAGACACGAAGGAAACTGTGAGCAAAATTGCAGCTCAGAAGTAACCTTGGGAGCTCAGGCATCATGGAGAGAAGTGGTGTCAGGTGGCCGTCTCGCCAGGACCTGGGTCTCCTTTATACAACCAGCAAGTGTCCAGCAGGCCCAATGGCAGGGCCCCCGCGTGGCTGGCTGGATCCCACGTGCACATTCCTTCTCTCTGTGTGGGCTTCCCATGCAGAGGGGACGGGGCTCAGGGGAGCCTTGAGGAGTGTTTTCCAGGAAATGCAAACCCCCACGAGGGCTTTTTGAGCCTACTGAACCTTTGAAAAACAATGTTTCCAAGGTACGAGTAATCTTTTATTTTTACAACTTCTGACGAGTAACACATTCCTTTGCAGAAAGACGGAAAGTAACACCTAAGCCCAAAAGAGTCAGGGAGCTCAGATGTGCGGGTGACTAGGACACGTCACATACCAACGTGGTGGCCCCAGGTAAGGCTGGGAACACACGGCGCTGGGATCCAGCAGGATTCTTTCAATGAGGAAAATGCGCCCTCCTTTACCTGCTACACAAAGCCGGTCTCCAAAGAATCTAAAGCCTCCTTTTTGGGCCACCATCTCTAGCAATCTCTTGCCCATGTGCCCTGGACTTGAAGGCCAACATACATCTGACAGGCCAGTTACCACAACTTGCAAATCAACAAACTCTTCAGCCACCAACGTCGGAGACCTCATACAAGCACATGCGAACGGGCAGGGGACCCTCTTGGTGTCTGTTCATATAGCCACAACCAAGCCACCACGGGTCCAAGCAGGTACCTGATGTCAACCAACCACGCTTCTCTTCCACCTTCCACTTCAAGATCAATGGCCAAACTCCACATACCTTACACGCTCCAAAGAGTTATGGCCAAGGCCTCAAAGACATGTCCACAGGAAATGGCACCACAGTGGGTGGAAATAACCGGACAACACGAGTCCAGGACAGCCTCCGTGAGCACCCTCAGACCTGGCCCAATGGCCACACCGCGAAGACTGTGGGCTCCGACGCTAGGAGAGGCGGCGCTCTCCCCAAGCAGAAAGACACAAACACCCGTGTTCCTACCTCAATCAGGAAGTCCCCAGTCCTCAGTCCGGCTTGCCACGCCACCCCACCTTCATCCACAGACTCCAGGTACTGCAGGGCTGGGAATGCTGGTGTGGGCGTGAATTCCTCAATGGGTGTATCCGCTGAGAAGAAAGGATACCTCGTTACAAGCCTGGGAGATGTGCCCAGGTTGGCTGCCTGTGCCCCCAGGGGGTCCTGAGAAGAAGGCCCACATGTCTCCTGTTGGCAGTGGGCAGAACGGGCCAGCTCCTCCCTGGGAGGGGCTTGACACTCAGCCCCGGGTCAACACCAGCTCAGGTAGGCGGCCAACTGCACGTTGGTGCCTCCATATCTCTTGGCCTCTGTTAAAAACATTGAATAATGTGCTCCGCTTACATGCCTATATGTACACGCCTGTCATTTTCTTTAAAAGCATCAATGACTAAACATTTTCAGTTCTAAAAATGGAAAAGCTCCCCCCATAGCCACACGGTGCTACAGAAACACCGCATGGAACCACTTGCCAAATTTACATCTACGTAGACGTGAAACCAAGGGAATTCAACTTGGAGCTTGGACAGAGCAGGGCACTGGCCCAGTGGGTGGCTGCAGACATAGAACCTGCCTCTGAACCCGCTCTGCGGGGAGCCGGCTCTCTGTGGCCCCTCTGTGGCCAGCATCCTGGAAGCGCGGGGCCCCTGCTCCCTAGCGGAGTGAGCCCTGGCTTCCGGGCCACACAGCTCTGAGCAAAACTCCAGGGGAAGAGACAGACTTTCCTAGGTGGTCATGAGGGTCTGGGGGGGATGGGTGGGAAGATGGGGATGGCCTCAGCAGGGGAGGGAGAGAGGACATCACACACAGTCAGGGACACACACACACACACACACACACACACACACACACACACACGGGCAGATCCATCTTCCGTGTCACTCGGGAAAGATCGCTGTCAGGGCAGCCTGAGCTGAGGGCAGGTGGGGGTGTCACCCATGGCAGGGGGCCTACCCCAGCACAGGTGCGGGACCCCTGGCATAGAGCAGGGGCTCTGAAATAAAACTTCCACATGGCTTACCCATACACGGTGACAGCTGTCTCCTCATGGGGAGGCGATGCCATTTTGTTTTTTTTTGGAAGGGAAGCCCCGAGTTGAGGGCTGGTGGTGGGTGCACTGCTGTGGAACGCACCCCCGGAGCCCCCCACCACAGGCCATGTGACGTGTGTGCTGCTGGCTCGGGCCATGGCAGAGGGGACCATCTTGCCACGTTTTCTTTGCAAAGTCACCTTAGAGGCAGGCACACGGACGCCTGCAGCACTTGGAGCTGAAGCCCACTCCCAGAACGGGGCAGCTTCCCGATACCTGAAGCTCGGCACTGGGTAATTCTTGGTACCTGAGACCAGGAGCTCCGAATCCAGCCGCAGCTGGGCTGAACTAAGCCACAAAATACAGATTAAAACCATGATTTTTAAAAATAAGGGTGGGGGGAGGGAGGGAAGGAGAGCAGGCCAGCTCCTTCAGAACAACACTGTCCACAGAAAATCAAAAATCTTCCTAAAGGGAGCCCCAGCGTTTTCTGAGAATGTGAAAGAATACGGTTGTCTAGCAACCAAGAGCCCCCAGGAAAAAGGCTTCTTTCTGGGCTGGGGAACATTTTTCCTACAGGCGCGCGCGCACACACACACAGACACACACACACACACACCCGCGAACGCTCCCCGCCGCTGCTCTTACCTTTCGCCCCCCGGAGCACGAATCCGAAACCCTCGTTGTCTTTCTTCTGCAGGGCCACCGCCTTCTCCTCGACAACGCAGTCACTGCAGGGAGAATTCCGGGGATAGCGACCATTATTGTACCCCGTCATCATCACCGCGGCCGCTGCTCCGCCGGGCACGTCCATCGTGCGGCCAATTAGTCACCCGGCTCGCCGGGCCCGGGCAGCACGGAGGCGACTGAGCAGCACAGGGCGCGGGAGGAGCGACGGCAGCCGGGGGGCCGGCGGGCGCGAGGGGCGGGCGCGGCACCACGGGGCTCCGGGGGGGGCCGGGCCGCGGCGGAGCGCGAGCGGCGGGCGGGGTGGGGGGGCGGCGGGCATGGCGGGGAGGCCGCGGCTCCGCGCCGCTCGGCCGCGCCGGGAGCGCCCGTGGCCCCGCGGCCCGCGCGGTGGCGGCGCCGGGGGCGTCTTCCGGGAGCCCAGCGCGATCGGCCGGGGGAGGGACGAGCCTGCGGTTGTCCCCCTCCTCCTTGACGGGCCTCCAGAGACCGGGTCCTATCTGCCCCCTGCGCGGGCCGGCCCCCCGCTCCGTCCGTCCGTGGGAACGCGGGGTCCCCGCGGCCGCCCGAGGAGCCCCCAGCGCCGCCGGCGGCCGCGGCTGCGTCTCATCCCGCGCCGGGCGAGCGAGGCGGGCGGCGGGGGCGGCGGGCGCCGCCTGCGCGAGGGGCTGCGCTGCTCCGGCGGCCCCGGGCCGGCCCCTCGGGGACAGGGTCCGGAGCCACGCCGGCCGCCTCTCGGCGCGGCGCTTTTCTAACGGGAAGAAACCCAAACGCTCCAACCCCGCTTCAGCTGCCAAAGCCCCCCCACCGTTTACAGCGAGGTCGCTCTGCCACCTGACGGCCGCCCTGGAGGCACCGGGGCCGCGGGACACCAGCGGGTCTTCTGTGGTCACTGTGGCCCTTGGCCGACGCGTGGCCCGCCCCCACCTTCCGGGGACGCACCCCTCCAGGATGCCGGGCTGCCCCGGAAGGAAGGAAGTCGGGCGCGGGGAGGGAGGCAGGAGTGGCAGGAGGCAGGGGGGCAGGCTTCCTCCAGGGTCCCAAGAGGCCGGTGTGGGAGCGCTGGGCGCGAGGGGGCCTCGGTGGGGATCTTCACGCTGTGGACACTGTCAAGGGCTACAAACCAGGGCAGAGATAGGCGGGCTGAGAGAGGTGGGCCGCAGCACTGGGGGTGTGGGGCAGAGGGGCGGCCGGGATCAGGGCCCCCTTTCGGGAGAGCTGCCGTGAGCCCACTCCTTCAGCTGCTGGAGTGGCTGAGTGTGTGGGGTGCCATTCTAGTGGGCAGGTGCTCCAGCCTGGTGGGAACAACACGCTGACAGCTCCAAGTCCCAGACAGCTGAAGGTCAGCTCTGCCCGGCGCTGGATTCATTGCCCGCAGGGAGCACGCGGCCCTAGCATGCAGCCAACTGGGAGCGGCACAGCCAACCTGAATGGGCAGCTGGGGAGGAGGAGGGACAGGGTGCCCATACCAGGGGATGGGCAGCAGCTTGTGCAGATGAAGTAGGGGAGCTTCAGCAAGGTTGGGGGGACACAGCCGGAGACCGCACACGTGTCCTGACCCACTCCTGAGCTGCCACCCCTTGCACCAGACAGCAGCACGGAGGAACTCGGCAGGGTGGCCCTGTCTCCCAGGAACGGCCAGCACAGCGGGGACACAGAGATGGCAGACCATGCAATCCGGGATGACCAGTCCAGGGTGGCCTAAGAACTTGGGAAGGTGGTTTAGTCCCTGGGCTGTCTCCTGCCCCAGGACAGCCTGCAGAGTGCAGGGAGCCCCAGCTCTGAGAGCTTGGCTGTGGCAGGGAGCCCCCCGGCTCAGCGCCCCATAGGAGGGCTGAAGCATGGCCAGGAGTCCAGCGCCCTGGGAGCTTGTGGGCAGGGTCCGTGGCTGGCCTGGCCTTTAGTAAGTGATGGGCTCTCTACACTTCCGTCTCTCTCACATCACAAGGTCCTGACAACAAGCCACAGGCCCCCCAGGATTACTGAGAGGTCAGATGGGCTGATAACCACGATGGTGCTGTGGGCCAGAGGGCCCTGGGGAGCCATCTCTTTAACCACCAACAGGAATGGCAGCAGGTCTGGCGGCTGGCCAGGCCTGAGGAACCACAGGAGTAGCGGGGGGAGGCTCTGTGGGGAGCAGCCTCTCTACCAGGCCTGTCTACCTTTCGTCTCCTGGAATACACACGTGCCCTTCCCCCCCTCCACCTCCTGCCCCTCTGAATGTCTCAAAGGGGAGGCCGCCTGGCCCCGTGGCTCACTCAGGTGGCAGGAAGGTGCAAAGCCCACAACCCAGTCCTGCTCTCCTCCACAGGGAGAGGCTCTCTGAGGGCCCTGGTCCCCGAAGCGGAGGCCTGCCGCTTCCGTGTTTCTGTCTGCAGGAGTAGCTGCTGCCCCAGAAAGATGGTGTGGGCTCCGGGGGTCCTGGGCTGTGTCTGCCCTGGGGACACGTTGGCCCTCAGTGCCCGTCTCGGCTCCGCTGCAAGGGGAACCTGCCATGTACTCTGGGCACACAGCCCTACTCTGGACCAACTCTACCCACAGGCCCAAACTGCCTTGGGCTCCATGAGCCTCACAGACCCACACACTTCCTACTGGCTGCACCCAGTGGCAGGGAGCTTGTCAGGGCAGTGTGGCTGACCGGGCACTTCTTAGCTACCTCCCTGCTGACTGCATGGCGGCAGGGGCGTTTTGTGTGCTGGGCAAAGGAGGCGCTGGCACCACACAGAACTCAGCTCAAAGCTCAGCTTTGCTCTGACCCCAGGGCCACTTTCACCTTCAGCGCCTCAGGGTCCTGCTCTGCCAAACAGCAATGCACGCCTCATGCGCCTTAGAGGAGGGGCTGATAAAACAAGCCACCCCAGGCCAGGTCCCCAGAGCATGCATAAGCCACCATCCTGAGCAGGGGTGCATGCATGTGTCAACCGTCCTCCTCCAGGACCCCTCCCAGGCTAAGCCCGCCTCCTGAAGCCTCTCAGCGGCTCCTATTCCGCCAGGAACTTCCTGAGTCACACTTGGAACTGCCACCATCACTGTAGCAAAGTCCTGCTTGCTGAGTAAATGCCAAACTCCTTAATTCTGATATGAAGGAGGTCTGCCTCTGCTGTCTCTTTCCTGCAGCAGGATCTAAACAGCCCCAGCCATCTGCCCATCATGACCTGTCTTACTTTATTCACAGACAGACCTGGGTTGGAATCCCAACTCAGGCATTTGCCAGCTTAGCGACTCAGAACCTGTTTCCCCACCTACAAAGTGCAGGCAATACTATTTGCCTTGTGGGGACACTGAGGAACAAGAGAGATGGGGCCCCCCAAATGCCCCTGCAGCAGGGGAAGCGGCCTGCGTCAGAGTCCCCAAGTGCATCTAGTGCCATATTCCCCAGAAGATGTGGGCTCCTGAAAGGCAGTGACCTCACCTTGTGGATCACTCCAGGTACCCACAACCCCAGTGCGGGGCCGCACACCCCTTAATGTTGTGGAATGGAGAGAAATGAGTGTGAACGTAAGTCGGAAGTCAAGCATGGAGAACAGGGCAATCAGTGGAGGTGGTTTCAAGGGAAGAAGGCCTCAGGACAACCGGCGGACCCTCAGCTGTACTGTGAGGGCGGTAGCAGCTCGGCATTGTGGGGCGCACTGCACGCAGCAGGCCTGACCCAGGAAGCCCGAGGCAGAGGCAGAAGGGCCATCCGGGCTGTCAGAACCATTCGGTCCTCGCAGCAATCCGGGGAGAGCGCCGGAAGCCTGAAAGGGAGACTCAGCGAGACAGGCCGGCACTGAAGTCTAGCTCGGTCCCCTGGCCCGGCCGTGGCGCCACTCCCTCCACGCCCCCATGGCATCACACCGGAACCCCACACCCTGGACCTCAGGGAGGGAACTTCATGGAGAGGAGGTACCCTCAGAGGGCTCTCTGCTGTTCATGAATGTAAAGACTGTCTCGGGATGACAGCCACGGCCACGTCTGGAAGCTGGGGCACCGAGACGTGGCTTACATGTACTGCCCTGGAGCACACTGAAGCCCCCCTAAGCAGATGCTGCCTGAACCTCAGCCCCAGCAGCCCCGGCCAACACGAGCTGGTCTGCAATCCAGAAGCAGCCCAAACTTCACTGGGCAGGACCTTGGCACCACACCACCCACCCTGCCGCTTGCTGCCGACCCTGGGGAGGGCTCAGAACCAACACCCTCTGGGCCCCGCGACACGCTAGTCCAACAGCCCGATGCCAGAGGGGTCAGGCCATGGCTCTGCTCTGCGCCTTCCCCTTCCCTGGGACGCTGACCACAGCCAGGCCCTCCTGCGGAGTCTCCTCTGGCTCATCGCCACGCCCCTGAAATGCCCTAAACCTGGCCTTGTAATTTACCCAACTCCGTGCACACCGGGCCTCTGTATACCTCACTGCTGTGTGCACCACGTTCCCCGTACCTGCTGCCTCCCCCACTTACTGCCCAAACCGTGAACACACAGGCCCTCAGACCTGGGTGGACACTGTCCCAAACCCTCCCAGTGGAGGGCGACGCCACATAGTCTCTCCCTGAGGGGCCCTTCAAGCCTTGCCCGGGCATCTGATGGGGTGCCTGCCACCTGCTCACCCTGTGGTTGTGGGCTCCTTGGGTGCATGCATCATGCCTCGTCCCCCTGAATCTCCTTGCAGGGCACAATGCCTCCTTCTGGCCACATTCTACCTGTGTTGGTTGGTTAAACAAAAAATGTAGTCCAGCCACAGTCCTCAAAAGTGTTTTCTGAATGGGGTTGGAGGGCACTTTGATGTGCCCCAAATGCAGCTCCGTTTGCCAGCTTCCTGTGGCAAGAGCTGTGGAAGACCAAGAGGCAGGCATCCAGGTTCGCCAAGTACAGCTGCTCAGGTTGTATACTGTGCAACTACAGATGGCCATCATAGAGTCACCCATTTACTGTGGGTATTTCGGCATGGATGGAAGTGCCTTGACAAGTGGGCAGGCACCTTTTTCTAGCTTATACGAAGATGGAGTACAAGCCATTGGCTGCCTTGGAGAATGCAGGAGGTGTCCACATACACACACTTCTACCCGGGGT